GTCCAGTGACAAAAATTTGGTAGAATTTCTATAGGTAAAATGGAAACAAACAAAAACAAAGTTACGATCAGAGGTTTTAAGAAAAAAGGCACGCAGATTCGAACATTAATTGGACTTACATGTCGCAGGTTAATAAATTATTTCCTATCTTCTTCCAAGAATCAGGGTGACGTGTGTCTCAAAAAGAACCGCCACTGATTGACGAAACACTGCACCAATAAATTAATCACTAAATACAGAAACAAATTGATAATGAAATAAAAATAAAAAAATACTAATAAATTATGTGAAAATAAACTGCTTACGTGAGGAAAATCTTTCGAGACAAACTCAACCGTTCGGAGAATCGGTTGGTAATGAGATTTCAGTCAAACAGAAAACAATATCTCTCCAAAACACACGTCAACCAATGACAACGTTGTGCTTATATATACGAAGGTAAATTTGAACGCTTCAAATCTGATCAAAAGTAAGACGAAACCTCGTAACAAGTATAATAATTAAAAACTATCAGGACGATATTAAAAGGTATTATAAGATAAATAAAAACTAATTAATAAGTAATAAAAAAGTAAAAAACATAGGGAAAAAGAAAAGAGAAAAAAGAAAAAAGAAAAAGGAGAGAAAAAAAAACAGAGAAAAAAATTTTTTGTTATTATTTAAAAATATGTCTTAATAGTCAAGTTTGTAATGTCAATGACATAAAACAGTAAGATTAAAAATTAAATTAGAATAATATCTGGGTCAGTAGAATAAAAAGTCTGTGATAAATTAACATAAATTAAGTACACGCACTCAAATTTGAAACTCTCAAGGAAACCTTCATACATTAACAAAAAATAATAAAAAACCTAAGCTTATTATAACAAAGAGAGAGTAATGTGAAGAAGCGTTACGAAACTGAAAAGAGACTCTCATATAACGGATCAAGTTTTAATGTGTTATTCTGTAGGTTAAGACCTTTTTTTTGCCTCTTGATATGGATCATTTCAGATAACAATCTCTTATTCCAAAACATCTCTTTATCCAAAATTTTTACGTTATCCCAATCAAAATCATGGGAGGTCTGTAACCTATGATCGGTAATAACTGACGATTGAGACGTATTTCTGTTAATGTGGTTCTTGTGTTCTGACATCCGTACACCGACACATCTACCAGTCTGGCCTACATAAGAGGCATCACAGTCTCTACAGTCAAGTCTATAAACTACTTCAGCTTGTGATGTGGTCGGTAATTTATCTTTTTGCACTCTAATGAATGCATTCAATTTCTGAATACCCCTGTATGCCAACTTCAATCCCGGAATACCCCTTATGAAATTTTTTATCTTGTCCGTTATGGATGGGATGTATGGAATAGTAAAATATCTCCTATCTTCAGATGAAAGGACCGGGTCCGTGGATGTGTTACGATTGTTTAGTTGTTGAAATTTTTTCTGCAGTCTTTTTTTAATGGTGGAAAAGATTAATCTAAGCGGGTAACCATTCTTTAACAAAATAGAGATAATTTTATTGAAATTTTCCCTGTGGAATCTTGGATGGGAAAGTAAAATCACCTTATCTATCAGACCCAAAATGGTACCCACTTTTTGAGAGATAGGATGGCAGGAATAAAAGTTTAAAAAACGGCCCGAAAAAGTTGTTTTTCTATACCAATCCGTAATAATATGTCTGCCTTCTTTTATTAACGTGACGTCCAGAAAATTGATGGTGTCTCCTCCCTCTTCCATTGTGAATTTTAAACGTGGATGGTAATCATTAAATGTGTCTAAAATTTCACTGTAATCAGATGATTCAGTGATCAATAGAATGTCATCCACATATCTTACATAGAATGTCGGTGTTGTTGCTAGTTTTCTTATTGAGATGGATTCTAACTCTTGCATAACGATGTCTGCAACAATGGGAGAGAGCGGAGACCCCATAGGTACGCCAAAAGTCTGTTTGTAGAACTTGTCATTAAAGGTAAAATATGAAGAGCTGAGAACCAACTTTAAGGCCTTAAAAAATTCTGATTTAGGAAGCTCTGTATTACGTTCAATATAACACCACTTCGTCGAGAGAATGTCCATAGCAAGCTCTACAGGAACGTTCGTGAAGAGAGAAACCACATCAAGAGACAGCAAAACAGACTCGTCGGGAATTGTCAGAGAACAGAGTACGTCAGTCAGATGGAAACTGTTGATAATACAACTTTTTGCACGTGGAAGGTTGTCATGTAAAATTCTATGCAAAAAAGAAGCCAAGTTATGAAGTGGGCTACCGGTAGATGAAATAATGACCCGTAATGGGTACCCCACTTTGTGTATCTTTTTTAGTCCATAAGCACGTGGTAAAATTTTATTAGATGAATATAAAAATTTATACCTGTGTGGAATCCGAGATCAAATCGCGACGCTTCCAACATCTTAATAGAGACAAAAGATCAGATATAATCGCATTGGCCGGATTACGTTTAAGTATAGAATATGTTTGAGCATCAGAGAACAACAATTCCATGTTCCTAATATAGTCAAATTTATCTAGCGCCACGACAACATTGCCTTTATCTGCGGTAATAAATATAATATGTGGATTATTTTTACAAAAAGTTTTTGTTGTTGAGTGAAGTGCAATAATCGTTTTTTCAATATCCGTGTGAGTGGTATTATTCATATTTTTCAAAAGTGGGAATATTTTGTTTCTAAATTTAATGTTAGGTATCTTGCATCTGAAAAAATTGTGTTCGAGATCCTTTATAAATTCAATCCTAGCGTTATCTACGTTAAGATTCGGTAAACAAAACCCTTGGCCTAGTTGTAACAATGCTTGCACTTCAGGGGGAATGTGTGTGGCACTGAGATTCTTAAACCATTCGTTGTTAATTTTAAGAAAATCATAATTCATATTTAAAAAATCTGCAACAGATAACTTGATTCCAAAAGTGTCTCGAATAAAGTTCGTGTTGTTGGGTTTATGGAATAGATATTGGAAACAAGAATCACTATTGGTGGACTCGAGAATAGAATTATTGCTCGAAGATATGGTGCCCTTATTTCTCACGCAATAATACTCTACATCCGGCATGCTTCTCAATATTTTACGATGGTGTTCTTTTAATAGCCATTTAATTTTTCGGTTAAATTTTTGATGTTCAGATAAACGTAATTTATTAAAAGAAGCATACTGAGACTGAATAAAACTATTAAAAAATTTTAAGGGAAGATTGTTGTTGATTTTATTCGTGAGGTTAAATAATTTATACATCATATTATACATATTACACATAATATATGCATATTATACATATTATATTATACATTTATAAGTATTAAACATATTATATAATACAATTGTATTTTATTTACATCGGTAATGCCCCCATGGCAGCGTGTCGGTGGAACCTGATACGATATACCGCTTATCATCGTGCGGACTTAGAGCGATTTTTGTTTCCGATATCGTGTACACTTCATGCAGTTTGGATCTTATGCATGACTGTCTGCGCGTCATTTCCATTGCATCATTCAAGCAGCATGTGTAATCAACAAACGTTATGGATTTTGCCACAACGCTGCTCTTGATACTCTTTGCCTTTTTCGCGTCTTTCTTTCCTTGTACACGTAAAGCGTACATTTTCGCTATAAGCCCTACGAATTCGGTCATAATGGCGCCGTTGTTCTCATCTTTCATAAGGCCTGGAACTTTTTTATTCGCGAGCGGAATACTGTACGCGTTGTCAACTGCGTAATCACTCGTGTTGAATCTATTTATATCGCGTTTCATCACATCGTAGATATCGTCACATTCTACGTGATATATGAGGCTATCTGTGTCGGTATACATAATTTTACATTTTTCACGAAACAGCGGTGCCATGTACTCGTGGTAAAATTCGTACAAACATGTTTTCGATATATCGAGGATGCACATACCCACGTATATCGGCTTGTCGAACTTCACCTCGAGCTTACGCAGTTCTATCACGACCAGGTTCTCTGAGAAGACATTACGACTGTGAAAATTTGATTTGGCGATCATTGCCTCCGCACCGTATCTGCCTTCCCATTTTGTCAGTAATTTTACGTCGACGCGATCGCGCACATTCTCCATGGTTTTACCAAGTACCGCGTTATTCATCAGTTTGTATAAATATTTTTCAAAATTATTTTTGGCCATTGTTCTAAATTTTGTGTTTGATTCTATGTAATCGCGTAGCCATGGAGATTGCGCGAATTGCAGTATACGGTGAATCTTTGCGATACGGAGGCCGTGACGAGTACACTGCTGCAGGTTGCGATAATGTATGACGTAACGCTGTTTATCGCATAATGTTGCGAGGAGCTTGTCATCGCGCTTGCCGGTTGGTTTCTCGCGTGTCGGACAGAACGGTAGGTCAGTGTGCGCGTCATGAAGATGTTGCGGGTACTCCAAATCCACCTCGAGAATATAGCTTGTCGGCGAATCTAACGCGATGTTCGTAAAATCGAAATTGTGCACGTCGACCCATCGAAGGTGTAGGGCAATGGTTGACACATTGTCCAGCCATACAGGTTGTTGATGTCATAGTACATCAAGTACGATGATGGTTTCGATGGATCGTACGACGGCATGTATTTGTTGTTGGCTCGCGCGTACCTGTTTGTACACTGACTCAGACCACCGCGTATACCGCGCTCGACAAAAAAGGATGACACAGCGCGAGATACATTTTGATACTGTGCGATTCGCGGGTTCGCGCGCCTTTAAATAGTCGTTCGAGGGCGCGTAGCCTTTAGTGCGAGCATGAAATTCGTGCGGCAACCGCTGACGATACGCGTCACAAACTGTGACGCGAAATCGCGAATGATGGGAGGCAGCGCGGAGAGGCGCAAGCACGGCGAAATGCTGTCGAGCACTATACGCGCGATCATTTGCGGTCCGTCGAATTGCGGTAAAACCAACGTTCTCGTAAGCTTGCTCGAGAGCCCGAACGGCGTACGTTTCAAGAACGTGTACTTACGTCTATTCGAAATCGCTGCAGCAGCCAAAGTATCGATATCTCGAAGGTTTATTTACGTCTATCGACGAAATTGGCTACTTTACGTTCTCCAACAACAGCGATATCGTTCCACCGAGCGAGGCGCGCCCAAATTCTACTTTTATCTTTGATGACGTGGTATGCGACAAGCAGGATGCGGTGAGAGAGTACTTTTCGATGGGTCGCCATGCGAACGTCGACTGTTTCTATCTCTGTCAGATGTACGCGGGGATACCTAAACATCTGATACGCGACAACGCGAACCTGCTGATCCTGTTCAAACAGGATGGTACTTGAAACATGTTTACAACGATTACGTGAATACCGACATGTCGTACGACGAATTTTGTTTGTTGTGTCGCGACTGTTGGCGAAAAAAATATGGATTCGTAGTCATAGACAAGGACAATGCGCTTAAAGACGGGAGGTACAGAAAAGGATTTAACGAGTTCGCGATACCGTAACGTGATCAGTCGTTGTCGATACTTCGCCAGAGATGAACATGGCAGATGTACGCGAGCGTGAAAAAATCGCGAAGGAGATCGAGAAGACGAGGGAGACGATTCGCAAGAAACATCGCGCTCTGAAGACCGGTAGAATCGAGGAGGACATGGCGTTGAAGAGGCATTTCAAGCCTATTATCAAACCGCTGCGGCAGATCGTTGACAGCTCCGGCGTGCGCGCGATAAAGAGACAATCGCGCGACAATGACGCAGCATCTGCCCCCAAGCGCGAGAAGAAGGAGGAGTTGGTGGAGGAGGAGTAGGAGGGAGAGGAAGCGAGCGAGACGCTCGAGCGTTTCGCGACCCCGCGTAAATTCGATGATCGATCGCACGATCGTGTACAGTCGATAACCTCCACCCCCCGCGTACGGCGATCGTACCGACGATAGAATCGTTGGAGAACATTTTCGAAACGACTGATGACTCGCTAGCAACGAAGGTTCAAAATCAGCTGCAAACGTCGGAAGGTCGAGAGGCGTTGCGAGCCGGCTTGAGCCCACTGGGC